CACACACACACATGTGCATGGGTCTGGTAGAGGTGAGCTGAGAGCCATGCAAAGTCCCTTCAGGCACAAAGACAATGACAGGGGGAAGGGGAGGGCTCAAAATGGGAAACCTCTGCCCGGACCCTCGGGCAGCTTAAAAGAATGAACCTTCCTTCCTCCGTTTTTTCCTCCCTCCCCTGCTTCTCTTTCCTTCCTCCATGCTCAGGATGGGATGACGAGAAGGGGAGAGATTGCCAGTGCCCTCTGGTGGCTATAAGGCTAGGTCAGCGAATGGGCATGGTGCTGATCTAGCAGTGAGGGCCATCAAAGCCGGAATGCACTCAGCCTTAGATCCACAGGCAAGCCCTGGAGCCTGCGAGGGCCCCCGTCTCTGCCCAGTCCCCTGGGGGTGCACAGAGGAGATGGCAAGTGTGTTTGAGCGCTGGTGTCCTGGGGGAAAGGGAAGCACTTCTCTTACCTTTTTTCTTCCTCAGTGGTCAGCAGAGATGGTCAGCAGGGATACCGGGTACTCACTGCCTCCTCTTTGTGCACCCAGGGGGCGGGACGGGGGCAGCCCCTCGCTGGCCCTTTCCCACCAAAACCTTCTTTTATATCCTCTCCTCTCCCCCCTTCCTCCTTTTCTCTTCCGGGCACCTCCAGCTTCCAGAAGCACCGGTCAGCTGGAACCCAGGTGCTGATCCTGGCGCCTCTGCCAAGTCCCGACAGCCCTGCAGCTCCAGCTGTCTCTCCCTCAGGCTTGTGCGGCACTGCTGCCACTTCACCTCATTCCTCTCCACTCCACTACCACTTCTCTAGGACAGTTGTGTACCACCTGCCAGGTGCCAAAGTACCACCGGTGGTACGCATCCCACCAGTTGAAGAGCCCTATCCTAGATTACTGAAATAATTTTACTCTAAGTATCCTAATAAGCCTAATTAACATGCCTTTCTCTATTTGTTTTCCCCTCTCCTTTCTCTCTTTTACAAGTGGATCTGTCATTTTTTTAGAGGGGGCTGTATGTCAAGCCCCAAAGAAATGTATCACCTTTCATTCTGTTATATATATATGTACATAAGAAGATTTCTTTCTCCCATATTTGGGTTGACAGGGTGTTCATTCAAGGTAAAAATATATACACTTCTATATTCATTTTTGGAAGCCTGCCTTCTGTTGGGGGGGGATGCTTTCCTTTGCCAACCACACTGCCCTTCCCCCAGGGGAAGGAATGTAGCCGAATACCATCAGCCTTATCTGGAAGACGGTTTGCGCTTGGAGCCAGAGGGAAACGAAACTGAGAGAGACTTTGAGGAGCACGCCAAAGGGGCCAGTTACCAAAACAATGTGGATTGGCCAAGATTCAAACAGACAGTGGGACCCTGGGGAGAGGGGTAATGAATATTGCTTTTGATATAATGCTTGAGAGGTTTTTTTCCTCAGACCTCGCTTTGCTTCCTAGCTGTCACTAATTCCCAATAAAAGTTCATTTTGAGACAATGCCTGTTTCAAGAGTTCTGCTTTCTTGGGAGACCTAGTTGAGGCAGGTCCTTACAACCAAGTAGGAAATTGGGACATAAGTTTCTCGGTCCTTTCCCTATAGCCAGAATTATAAATCCTGTCACAGTTCAGTTAAAACTCCCATAGCTATTAGGGAAGGTTCACCCTGTGTTCCATTGCAGCTTGTTAAAATAAGTCACAGAGTCATCCTTGAGGCCTGGTCTTGTTTTGGTAGAGAGAGAAACTCACTATGAGACAAAACACATCCTTGACTCTAGATTACAAAAGGAAAAACTTACAATATTTGGTGTAATGGAAAGGATATCCCTTGTCAGAAGCTACCTGGCTGAAATATACCGATGTGAAGGCAGACAGATTAATAAAAAAAATTCTATGACAAACATCCTCAGAAGACCAGGAGAATTCCTAACCTGCACTTTTGCTTCCTTTACAAGACTTGCTTTCTTCCTGGGGGTGGGGGTGGTCTGACAGTCAACTCTACAACAAAACTGGCTGCAGCCATTCTGCTCATTCTAGATTGCCACAAGAATGGGAGGGGGTGTGGAGGAATTCTGCTAGTCTAAACATTTCACTGTCCCATGGAAATCAAGGTCATTTCTGTCAGTTAGGTGGGGGGGCATGAGCATTTGGTTAGAAAGCCTGCCAAACTGTTCGATTGGGAAACGTAGCTGATTGATAGCAATGGGGTGGGAAATTTAACTTTGTAATAGTGTTTCTCCTTGAAGGGGATTTCAGATTTGGTTTCACTTTTGATCATGCTAATCTATGTAACCAATAAACATGTTCTTTGAGAAAATCTCTAGCCTCGGAGTTCTGATTTGTTGGGTCTCATCTATTGGAACCTTGACAGTAATACATTCCACCAGAGAATGTTCAAGTCCAAACCTGGAAAAATGGAGTACATAAATATTATGCATCCCTGTTTTAAATAATAAAATTAACAGAAATAAAAACTAGTTGCTGTATCCTTAAAGTACCATCTAGTGGAATTTGACAAAATATTTAAAATTAGAGTGAAGCACTCCTATGATCACCACCTCAACATAACAGTATTTAGATTTTTTTCAACATACAGTATTTAGAATTGTCTAAACCTGGCAATTCCAAATATAATATGTTGAAAAAGAATTAAAGTAGCCAGCTGTAAAGAAGACATGAGAAAAATTATTTACCTGAATATTTTTGTTACTGTGACCTCGGAAATACACCTTGAAATCTTATACAGCACTCCCATTATTTCAAAACCAAAAATAGGTTTTCTATTTATTTGTGCTTTGTTTTATTACATTGGGAGTAGAGGGTTAGAGAAATAAACTGGATTTTAGCAAATTATTTTTTCATGAAGAGGGGATTAATTAGTTTAATAGGGCTGATTCCTGGATAATTATGTGTACTGGGCTGAATTGTACTATCAGCTGCCTAGAATCAGAAATTACATAAAAGTTGCACTAAATAAATCAATAATCAATCATATTTATGATTTCAGCCTTTTTAATTATGCATAAGAATAATTTCAGCCTTTTTAATTATGCATAAGAATCATGCATGCAGTCCAGTCATGATGACTGGTCATGGCGCTCCAAACTTTAGAAACATTTGAAATTGTGCCCATGAAGGTACCTAGTTGCCCTGAATTTATACAACTTGTCCACAACATAAAGTTGCAATCTCAGCATGAACATTTTCCCTCTTGTCTTGCCTAGTGGGAAGATGATTCACAGTAATTTACTTATTTCATTTATCAAATTTACTTATTAAATTTAGATACTGCCCATCTCACTCTTAGACTATTTACTACATTTTTATACTACCACATAGGTGGTATAAAAGATGGCTGCTGCATTTTGTACTAATTTTGTAACAACTGCAGCTTCTGCCAAGGTAACCTCATGCAGAGAACATTGCATTCATATATGAGATGTAACCAGGATATGGGAAGCAATGGTTTTTACCTGCCTATCTAGGAGTAACTCAGTATCTATACAAGTTATATATAGTTGTAACCTGATCCTTGGGGTAATGTTATTACATAATTTCTGAGTACACTGTAGCTCAATCTCTCTAGGATTTAGCTTCAGCTTGCTTTTTCCTATCCAGTTTCTTAAAGCATCTAAACATTGGGGCAGGACTTTCACTATATGACTGAGCCAAAGATATTTGTTTATTAATACTGTATTGTGACACCCACCCAATGATGTTTTGGTTATACATATGAAATCCACTTACTGACAAATAAATCATGAATGGATATGGTCTTACTCGACCAGCAATAATCTTGTTCACCAGCAATAACCTAAAGCCAAAACTCTAGCAATCTCATGATCAGCAGGAGCAACATATCCAGACACCAATCAGTACTAAATTGTAGGACATTCTTCCCTGGAGCGGTCAACCCACTGTTTTCCCATAGTATCATCCCCTACCCATCTTCATGGAAATTTGATATCTCTGACATTTATCTGCTGAGTCTTTCCAAATCTCCTTGCCTCTTTTCTATCATGACCAATAGAGCCACCCTGAATCAAATTCCCTGTCTTCTCCATTTTCCAACTTCCAATTAATGCAACTGACAAAGTCACAATTGTTCTCACAAGACAATGTCTTGTGGAAACCAACCACTCAGACCTGCTTCAACCTCCTTAATCCATACATCTTTAATTCAACTACTTTCCATTCCCTTAATGTGGGAAAAGCTTAATGTGGAAAAATGTGTATTACTGGAAGAAGAGAGGATGTATTGGATGGTGTAATATTGGATTTAGTTTGAAGAAGCTTATATGTACCGCGGAATTACTAATGGACCCAGTCAACACGGTGTCTATTAAGCACTTGTTTGTAAAAATAGAAAATTAATAAAATATTTATATAAAAAAACATAACAGGAGCCCCTATTCCCTTATTCCAGAGGGCTTCCGTTCCAATCTGCCTCTTGTACTTTCTTTGTGATTGTATACCAGTGGTTCTCAACCTTTTTAATGCCGCGACCCCCAACCGGTTGTAAGTCAAGGACTACCCAACCGGTTGTAAGTCGAGGACTTTCCCTGCCCGGGAGCACCGCGCATGTGTGGTGCCGCCCCCTGCGCCAGCCGAGGCGTAGCTGGCAAGCGGCAGAGATGGAGCAGGCCAACCACCGGCTGGGCCACCAGCTGGCCCAGCCCAAGGGAGGTAAGGCACCCGCCGAGCCCCACGCGCGCCAGCAACCCTCCCTGCGCCTGCCGGCCTCCTACCTCCCACCCCTGGCCCTCTTTTACTTACATTTTTAGTAGTTGCTCAGCAGGGAGGGGTGGAAACTTCCAGACAGCTCGCCTTCGCTGCAGACAACTTGCAGCACCGTTTGCAGAATGGGACTTTTGGCGGGCTCAGCAGGGCAGAGACAGCCTGGACAATTCCTATTGGCTTTTGAAAGCCAATAGAATTAGACTCTATTCAAGAGAGTCTATTCTATTGGCTTTCAAAAGCCAATAGAATAAAAGGGAGTAACACAGCTAAGGAAAAGGGGGAAAAATGGCGGACTGCGTTGTTTGGCGACCCCCGTGAAATGGTCGTTTGACCCCAAATGAAGTCGCGACCCACAGGTTGAGAACCGCTACTATATACAATTAATAACAATCTTATCGATAATCCAAGGTTTTATATTGATTCAGAAAAATCGTGACTTCCACTAATACTTTTAGGTCCACAAATCACTCTCAACTGGAAACTCAGGCCCAGCAGCTCTGACCCCAGTCCTCAGGATATATATTCTATGAAATTAATCTTTAAAAGCTCTAGTCTGAAAAAATATGATTAAAACATTTATATAACCACTTTTTTGTACCAAATGTAGGGCAGCTTATAACTTAGAGATATGACCACTTATATGTACAATAATATTAAAACCAAAGTAATTAACCTCCCCCAAATACTAAAATCAAAAGCCTGACACCACAACTACTGTAAATTTAGTTCCCTCTATTCCAGCACTTTGAAGGGGCGGAGCCAGATCTTGATTGATTTTCAGAAGGTTAAAAGGGTGAGATCCTTTCAGGAGAAAGGATTAATATGAATACCCTGTATTAATAAGTTCTGAATTATTGCTGAATTCTTCTTCATATCCTTACAGCTTTAACAGTTTTTCAAAAGTTTTTTTTTTTATTTCAGATGCATGCTTGTCTATAAAAGATAAATAAATCCTCAGTCCAGCTGAAAGACGGAGAGGTGGCCCAGCAACCCAATCTGGCAGCTGAGCAGAGGCGGTGAGGTGCAAACGGAAGCTCTTGAGTAGAGGTGAAACAGAACTAGGTGGCAGCAGACGAGCGGCTGAGAGCAGCACAGAAGACCCTGAGCAGCAGCTGTACAGAGTTAAGTGGCAGAGGAGCAGAATGCCCGGAGCAGTGACTGAAAGGAGCACAGCAGTGGCTGAGAGCAGCATGGCAGATCAACTGATCAGCAGCAGTGCAGAGCTAAGTATGACAGCAGGCTGGAGTGCCCATAGGAGTGGCTGAGAGAAGCGTGGCAGACCAGCAGTGGCTGAAAGCAGCGCAGCAGAACAGCTGAGCAGTAGCTAAGCACCCAGATCAACACATTGTACCTGAAAACCCCAGTAATGGCCAGGCAACTGAAGGGCAAGAAGGCAGGGAGGAAAAGTAAGTACATAATAAGTACTTAATACTTGTGGACAGAGAGGAAAGGGATAAACTTTCAAGGCAGGGTGTAGATGGTTAAGAGCTAAGCATCTCCTAGAAAAAAGCCTGAGATTTCCAACTTAAAGAAGTGTATAACACTTCATAAAGGGCCAAGAACTTTTGTAAATTTTTAAAATTTCTCAATTTTTAAAAATCTTTCTCTTTAGTTTTTTATATTTCTTTTTCCAATTTTCAATTTCTTTTTTCAATTAACCTTTTCAATTTTTTAAATCTTTTTTCAACTTTTATGTTTTTAAAATTTTAAATTTCATTTTCAATGTTTAAAACTTTTTCAATTTTAAATTCTTTTTTCAATTTTTTCAATTTTGCAATTTCTTTTTTCAACTAAACATTTGAAAAATCAGTTTACTTATTTTAATTCTTTATAATTTTAAAATTCTTAATGATCTAACAGAAAAAAAATAAAAACCACAGAAAAAGAGACAGACACTCAAAACAGGGAAGATAGTGACGAATTTTTGAAGACAGAATAAACGGTCAAGAACTTTTGTAAACTATTGTAAACTGACACTTCGCAACGGGAAAAATAAATTTTTAGAAATTTTTAATTTTTTAACAAAAAAAATCATAGACATAAAGACTCACATTATAGTAACTTGCAAGATATGTCATATGTTTGAGCTTATGACTACAGAAGACTTAAACTATATATTTATCAAATGTAAATCATATGAATTACTAGAAGAAAAAGTAAAGGGTCTAGAAGCAACTGTAGCCACTCTGAAACTCAATGAACAAAGTGAGAATCTCCAATCTAAACAAGACTACACCAAAATTAAACACAATAGGGAACAAACAGCTTCTAAAAAAATGACCCCATATATGAACAAAAAGAAGAAAACTGATATACCCAAATTGAACACAATATGGAATAAACACCTTCTCACAAAAATGACCCTATATATGAACCTAAAGAAAAAGACCGATGGAAACATGTCAGTTTTAGAAGAAAACAGCAACCAAGAACAAAGCTGGTCTAACCCACCCCAGTGAAGCCCCTCTGGATTGAACAATAGCTTTCTTAGCCTTCCTCTGGGAAAAAAAAATATGCAGACACCTATAAAAGAGCAGTCACCAATAGTTTTTAAAAAGGAGACATAATCCAGCATTCCTGTGACAGGAAGAATAGTGTAGTGGAGCTGTCTGAAAGTGTTTGCAGGAGCTTGGCCGGGAAGAGAAAGACTGGGACAGCTGCTGCCAGTTTTGGGCATGGCAAGTGTGGACTAGGGGGAAAGACAGAAAAAGGAAGGAAGGAAAAGGGAGGGGTGGTTGTCGTTGCAGTTCGCTGCTGCTGCTGCTGTTGCTGTGAAGATTGGGGGCTATCCAAACTGTGACTATTGCTGCTTGTACAAGTTTTAGACATTGTGGGGAGTTGCCCTGGGAGGGGAGCTGTTACTGCAGCACGCTGACTGCTTTTGTTCATGTTTCTACTGCTGCCTAGAGACGGGGTTTTTCCCCACCCCACTTGTTTCCAAACGGTTGCTAAGGAATCATTGACTATTGCTGCTATGACAGCCTGGGGCTGCTAGACACCATCACAGCATTGACTATTGGGGCTAGGAGCTGGTCATCTTTGTTCCTGGAACCTCCTTCTCGATGACAAGAGCCTGCCACCTCCTCACTTTGTGAGAGCCTCTGTTAGAAGAGACACTTTACTAACCCCTAGAGCAGGGCTTTTCAACCTTTTCACCTATTGTACCACTTTTAGGATATGGCAATATCAGAGTACCACCAGTCGCCTAGCAAGGTGTCAAAAACTTGATGACCAAAAAAAAAAAAAAAAAGGAAAAAAGTGATAAAGTACAAGTAGTCCTCGACTTACAACAGTTAGCTTAGTGACTGTTCAAAGTTACAATGGCACTGAAAAAGTGCCCCCCAAGCCACAGCTGAGCAAGACACCTGCCTGCCCACTTGGCAGCACTCTTCCTTCTGTCCAAGGTTTTCATTGTCGTGAGCAGTTCTGTTGAGGATTGGCAGTGGGGGTGGGGTGGGGGTGTTTGGTTTTTATTCCCCCCCATCTGCTGGGTAGTTGCAGCAGGTTTGGGTCACTTCACATGACTCTGGGACACTGTGGCTGTCATAAATATGAATCAGTTGCCAGGCATCTGAATGTAAATCACAAGACCTTGGAGATGCTGCAACATTCCAGCTGATCGGCGCTTCTTCTGGGCTCAGCAGAAGCACCAGGATCAATGCTGCTTTTCAGCTGATTGGTGCTTCGTCAGGGCTCAGCAGAAGCACCAGGATCAGCGCTGAGCTCCAGCTGGAGCCTGGCGCTAATCCTGGCATTTCCACTGAGCCCTGACAGCCCCAAAGAAGTGCCGATCAGCTGGAAAGTGGCACTGATCCTGGTGCTTCCGCTGAGCCCTGACAGCCCTGCAGCTCCAGCCATCTCTCACTCAGGGCTGTGCGGTGCGGTGCTGCTACTGGTTCAGCTCATTCCCCTCCCCCGCTACACTTTTCTAGGATGGTCGCGTACAACCTGCCAGGTGCCAATGTACCTGAAGGCAGGACAAGAAGCAATGGGTGGAAACTAACCAAAGAGAGAAGCAACCTATAACTAAGGAGAAACTTCCTGACAGTTAGACCAATTAACCAGTGGAACAACCTGCCTCCAGAAGCAGTGAATATGTGTCCAAAACTGGCGAGCCCGGGATAGGGGTTATTCCTCTATCCTGGTGCTTCTTGACCTCTCAGCAGCTTTCGATACCATTGACCATGGTATCCTTCTGCGTCGTCTTGGAGAGGTGGGGGTGGGCGGCACCGTATTGCGGTGGTTCTCCTCCTATCTCTCTGACAGGTCGCAGTCGGTGTTGGCGGGCGGACAGAGATTGACCCCTAGGCGCCTCGATTATGGGGTGCCTCAGGGCTCGGTCCTGTCCCCCCTCCTTTTTAACATTTACATGAAATCGCTGGGTGAGATCATTCGGCGACACAGGGTGAGGTATCATCAGTACGCGGATGATACCCAATTGTATATCTCCACCCCGTGTCCTTTCAGTGAAGCGGTCGACGTGATGTGCCGGTGCTGGAAGATGTGAGGGTCTGGATGGGGGTGAACAGGCATAGACTCAACCCTGACAAGACCGAGTGGCTCTGGGTCTTGCCTCCCAAAGGCCAACTGGATGGTCCATCTTTAGTCCTGGGGGGGGGGGGATTTACCTCCCTCAGTGCAGGCACGCAACTTGGGTGTCCTCCTGGACTCACAGATAAATTTGGAACAACATCTATCGGCTGTGGCCAGGGGGACCTTTGCACAGGTTCGCCTAGTGCACCAGTTGCGGCCTTATTTGGACCGGGAGGCTTTACTCACAGTCACTCATGCCCGTGTCACCTCAAGACTGGATTACTGTAATGCGCTCTACATGGGGCTACCCTTGAAGGGCGTTCGGAGGCTGCAGTTGGTTCAGAACGCAGCCACGAGAGCGATTGTGGGCGCGCCAAGGTACGCCCACGTGTCACCTATCCTCCGCGAGCTGCACTGGCTTCCTGTGGGTCTCCGGACGCAATTCAAGGTGTTGGTTATCACCTTCAAAGCCCTTCATGGCATAGGGCCAGGTTACCTACAGGACCGCATTCTGCCGCACAGCTCCCAGAGACCGGTGAGGTCCCATAGATTGGGCCTCCTTCAGGTCCCGTCAGCCAGACAATGTCAGCTGGCGGGCCCTTGGGGAAGGGCCTTTTCTGTGGTGGCTCCGACCTGATGGAATCAACTTCCCACCGAGGTTCGAACTACTCCCACCCTGCCGGCCTTTAAGAAAGCCGTTAAAACTCTCCTGTTCTGGCAGGCCTCGGGCTGATGTCCCTGGGGGGCCGGGATATGATCGGACTTGCGGTATGACTGTATTATTTTATTGTTTTATGATTGTTTTAACTTTGTACGCCGCCCTGAGTCCTTTGGGATTGGGCGGCATATAAATATTTGAAAATAAATAAATAAATAAATGGAAGACCAGGGAACCCAGTACAGTCGGGAACTGTGAAGGGCCCCAGTAAAGGAGCTAGCTGGGTGCCCGGTGATATCAGTCAGCCCGACAATAGAGGGTTCTCTTGGAAATCCTTATCAAAAATGGGAGTGATTGGAGTACCCCCTTCAATAAGGAATCCCCATCCTCTTGAATTGACAGAGGCCGAAGCCATGGCCCCCCCAGCAACAGGAGAACCAGGTGTGGGTTGGTGAACCAAACACTGTGTTTTCCAATATTGGGCTCCTCAGCAGCTGGTGGGCCCCTCTCCAGTGGTGTCAGTGCAGGTAGAAGGTATTTATACTAAGGCCCTTTTGGATTCAGGTGCGCAGGTGACGTTATTATATAGGGATTTTTATGATAAGTATTTGATGTATATGCCCATACAGGAGTTGGGTGATTTGAATATCTGTGGTATTGGGACTGAAAAATTTCCCTATGATGGATATTTATCTATACAGCTGATGTTTGGGCCTTCTGTTGCTGGGTATACGGAGACCTTTGATACTCTGGCTATTGTGTGCACTCGTTGCCCGGGAGTTAGTCAGGGTTCATTGACTGTGGGGACTAATGCCAGTTTAGTTAGGCGGTTACTCACCCCAGTCATTCCCTTAGGGAACAGACAATATGTCAGGGTTTGGTGCAGGAGCAGCAGATCCCTGCAGAGGGAGTGGGGCGATTATGGAAATTGGGTAGGAAAAAGAGGATAATACAACCAGGGGAAGTGGTGTGCTTGAGGGCTTCCATTAAGTTAGATTGGGAACAGCCTGGGCCATATCTCATTCTTGAACCCAAGGGGGCGGAATGGTGGAGTGGAATTAATTTCAGAGGTAATCTCCATGTGGGTTTTACAACAGGAAAAAGGACAGATCTCAATTGGGGTTTGGAATATCACGGGCCTCCCTGTGCGGCTGTGGGATCGGATGTTGTTGGGGCAGGTGAGCCCAGCTACTCCGATTGAGTCTCTGGATGGTA